GTCTGGGCTACAGAGGTAACTTTGGAAATGACAGAAAGGCTCACCAGGTAATGCTGTGCAGGGAGTATTCTAGACAAGTGCTGCTGGCAGACATGCAGCTCACCCCAGGTGCCAAGGAGAGCATCCTGAGAGATTTTCAAATCTTTTCAAAATTTGTACACACACACAAAACAATTTATGGACTGGGGAAGGCTTCCTCCTTTTCTCACCCTTCCTCCTTTTTCTGTTCTACCCTCCAAATTCCCATTCAATAGGTGCTGGATGGTGTGACTGGAAACATGCAAGTGGAAAGAGTTCCCAGGTGACATTGATCTTGGCCAGAGCTGGGAACCTGGCCACAGACCACACATGTTTTCAGACAGCTGGAATTAAATGGCAATTAACTGTAATACTCAGTGACTAGGTGCTTGTGGCTGACTGAATCCAGAGCAGAAAGGAAGACGCATCAACCTGTTTCTACTGTTCTCAGGAAATACTTTATGAAGCCTTCATAAAACTTTGTTAAGACACTCCAGTACTATGCTGGAAAACTGTGCACAACACACACACACACACACACACACACACACACACATTACTGAATCATTTCTGAAAAGCTAGTTTCAGTTTATAACTGTGTGGGATGTCTTTGTACATACATACCTATGCAGGGTGTATATTGTGTACAAAGCCCAAGACATATCCTTGATGGTCTGACACAGTAGCACTGGCCCTAGAAATACTAAGGAATTAAAAAATATATATATATTCCAGCTACAACGGCATTTTATTTTCCCCAGCTTTCTCATGAGGTCTGTTTCTTTCCAATAAAAAAAATTGTTGACTGAAAATGTCAATAAACTAAGGTTTTAAAATCTACACATAGTAAATGTGCATTTCCTTTTTTTCTTAATGGTACATTAACTTTAGAAAGATAAGTCGGAATATTGAATGCACTTTGAGTTTACGTTAACTTTCACAGTATTACATTTTCTACCTTGCTAAAACATGCTAACATCTGTAGACCTATTTTTCTCCATTAAAAAGGAAATTATATATAATAATGTCATTTCCCCTTCCATTTCTTTCATCCTTGCTTGCTCCCTCTCAAACTCATAGCTTCTTTTTATTTAATTGTTATTACGTATATACACATTCAAGTTATATCACTTGAGCTGACAATATCCTCCTTCTCCTGGTCAAGAACCATAGACTAGGGCCCTGTTTAAAAAAAATCTCAGTTCTGATTTCAGCCCCTGGGAGATATCCAGGAGACATCAAAGAGAGAAGCTGGAGCATAACTAAAAAGTCTCTCATAGCACCTTCCGCTATGTTAAGAACTTAGGGAGGAGGCTTCCAGCTGGCTGCTGGGAGTCAGGAAAATCTGAAGATAAGCAATGAAATATAATGACAGCCGTAAGAAACCTTAGGCTTCACACCAGCAAGATTTATAGCACGAGCTGGTACCTTTCTCCCAATTACCTTTCTGGGTAATCCAGAATGGTGTCAAATTCACCATATAGACAACTCCAGCCTTGAGATTGCAGAAATCCTCCTGCAATCCTCAGACTATTGAATTCTTGAATCATAGACATATGCCACTCACTCCTGTCTTACAGTTAGTATTTTTAAAGCTTATCTGACCTAACTCTAACTTATACTAAAATGGCTTAATATGTGCTAAAGTCTCTAGCTGCTGCAGGGCGTGGCTGCCATACCCTGCCCTCTACCTAGGAGTGGGTCTACTCTCCCAGAAGCCGTTCACTATAAAATAGAGACATATTGATTCTGTTGCCCCTTTTGCCCTTTCCCTCCTTCCCCTCTTCCTGTTCTCTCTCTCTTCCCCCTCCCTTGCTGTTGCCAATAAACCTTCATTTATTTAATATTTTTTTTTTTAAAAAAAAAGCTCAGTTCCTTTAGGAAGATATGAACCTGAGACAGCACCACAGAGTTCTGAGTGATGATGACTCCAGGTTAAGAAACCAGGCTTCCTTCGAAGCTGTGGCAACACCACTCAGTCTATGTATGCTGATGTCCTCTCCTCGGCATCCAATCCCCTTCGTGGCCACCTCCGCCTGTGTCCTCATTGGCTGAATACTTTGTACCACTTTTTGTTACTGTGGTCAGGAGAAAAGCCTAGACCCCGAGTTGCAGTTCACTGAAGACAATTTCCTGTTACATCAGACTGTACCCTCTCCAGCAAGAGATCCTTAACATGTCACCCAGAGCAGACTCAGCAACGAAGAAGAAAGGAGACTGACTCACATGCTTCCTTGGGTTTGTGGCAATGACTTGGCTGAAAACTGGCTCCTTGGTGAGAAACAAAACCTCCTTCTTGATGTGAAAAATTTAAAACTTATCAGTGAAGAAAACGTGAGTCTGTTCATGGCTGACAATGAATGGCATCCTGTGTAAATAGTACACAGACGCTGTTCTTTCTGTTTAGAAAAAGTAATCCAACTCTCATTCTGAATGTGATGTGTTTCCAAACTTTCTGAAACTGTCTTTTTCCCCCCCACATATGTTCTCTTGTACCAAATGTGCTCTGTGAGTGTAGGGGAACAACCTCTCTTGGCAGACTCAAAGAGTGAAAGCTATTTACACACCCACTCCCATGGAAGACCCAGAGAAATGAGGCCTTGGGACTATAGGGCTGGCCTGAGAGCAATAGAGACATAAGTACAGGCTACAAAACGAAGAGACAGGGCAGAGAGAGAGAGAGAACCATGAGGCAGGAAGCAGGAAGCAGACTGGTCACAGATGGGCAGGGGATTATAAGATCACATTATGTGGCAAAGCTAATGCATTCCCACAGGAGCCTGGTAGGTCTAAGGCCAGATGGGGGATAATTTGTCTTACCCCATGACCCAGACTGTGGAATGCCAGGAACACATTTTCTGACTGGCTTTAAGCCAACTCATGTCTTGTTTTTCTCATGTGTACTAGGGTGAGCCTTTCGCAGCCTGGTTCTACATCATCAGAGCAGGTTGACACTCAAGGTGTGACTGGTATGTCTAGGGACACATCCCACTATCTATGTATTTATAAGGCGAAAGTAGATTTGGTAGAGTAGGTTCCACATCCGGTAATGTGGCCTCTCTGTTAGGATCACTCTGCATTTACCAGATTAAAATTGCTATTTTGCCTCCCTGAGATTTTAATGCTGGTCTGTCTGTTTTTGCAAAACTCAAAAGCCCTGGTGAAATCACGGATGTCATTTGATGCCTGACATGATTCAGGGTCAACATCAGTGATGGTGAGGTGACAGGGACATAGAAAGGTGGACTGTCATACTGTAAAGCCAAGTTCACAAGTCAATAAGGAACTACAAGGACAGAGACTGGGAGTCCATGAGTCACTCATACTAACAGCCGATGAAGTCATTGTACCAGCTTGGCCTATTTGACAGGGGGGCTCTCAGACACTAACACATGATATTTCAACCCTGCTTTCTTCTCTCCATAACCAAAGAAGTTCTCAGCAAATTCTAAAGGGCCAACAGATCCCCTCAAAGGGGTTGCTTGTGATGGGCCATATTTGTGAATCTGAAGATTCTGGTGTTTCCCAAATTAACCTATCAGCTAAACTCCATTAAGTTTCCATCTTGCTTATTTGTAAAGACTAATGTACTAATGCTAAAAGCCATATGGAAATTCAAGGGATCCTGCATGGCTGAGGCAACCATAAAAGGGAGCAAGACTGGAATGTTCACCTTTCTCCCAATTTAAAAAGTTCTTACAAAGCTGTTATAATTGAGGAAGAATTATGCCGGTATGAGGAGAAACATAAAAGACCAATGGGATTGACTAGAACATCCAGAAATAAACTTCACATCTATGGGAAATTGACTTCTGGCAAGAAAAAAACGTTAAGACATTCAACAAGGAGAAGAATAGTTTTCAAAAAACTGTGCTGGGCCCACTGGTTATAAAATAGTTTGCCTGACTAAAAAACCTAAGCATAAAAGTTATATAAAAAGACCTTTATAAGACAATACAAAAATAAATTTCTTGTATTAGGCACCAGAGTGGGGAGTGTGTAGATAGCTTTCAATTTCTTGTTGTATTGTATCAATTCTAAGAAATCTTGGAATTGATATCAAAGAGCACAAGGAAACAAAAATTTAAAGTTGGGCGAGGGAGACTATCACAATAAAAACTTCTGCTCCGAAGAACACTATGAAGATAGCAAAAAAACAAAAACAAAAACAAAAAAAAACAACTCAGCTAAAAATTAATGAAAGATATGAATAGATATTTCTATAAGAAGATTTACAGATGGCCAATAAATGCACAGGGTGGCTCCTAAGAGTACAAAGCTAAAACTTCAAAGGGTACCACTTCATATCACAGAGATGGATGTCACCAGAAAGACAGATGTGTTGGTGGGAATACAGAAATGTTCAGATATTGCTGCTGGGAAGACAAAGTTGTCCTGCAAGAAAAGCAATGCTCTTGCTCATGATTTACTATGGTCTTTGAAGATGGCACCAAATGTCCAAGCAAACCTGTACATCATGAGTAAAAACATTCTTCTTCCGGGACCGCTGCTCGCCTGACAAAATTCCTAGCTGAAATCATGAAGCCATATAAATAAGGAGGAATTTCTACCCTGCGGTTAGAGATTTTGTGCCCAGTTATAACATGAATTAGTCATGACTCAAAATTAATTTTAAGAAAGATAACACTTTTAAACTTTTATTTCTGAGAGATTCAATATTTGTATATGAGCCGTATTAGCAGTAGTTAATAGTTTTATTTCTATACTGATTCTAATTATAGTCTAGGAATGTATTTTTCTTTTATCTCAATACTGGACCTTGCATGTAAGCTTGATGGAACTGACTGCCCTGGGCAACTGATTAATCACACCCAACATTTAACATTTCATGGACAAAAAAAAAAAAGTGTCCACTTGCTTGGGACTTTACTGCATTTTTTTTTCTGAAGAATTGACCTGTGTTTATTTCTTTAAAGGAGCAAACAACACTAGTAGATACTGAACTGGCCCTAAGCACTTACCTGACCATCCAGGGAGGCATCGGCAGTGGCCTGTGGTAGGGTGGCAGCCGTCTGCATGGCTGCAGTCACAGCGCTCCGCACAGTTCAGCCCGTACGTGCCATCCTGCAAGTGAGAGAATGTCAAAGCCAGCATGACAAACCTAGGTATTCTCAGGACACCACACGATAACGGCCCTGACGTGTTTCTTAGGAGCATGCATCATATCACCTCTCTCCATGATGCAAAATACAAGCTTGAGGAGGCAGCATTTTAAAATCACCTCAACTCTAGCTTATGCCTGATATGATAGCTGGGTGATGTGCATGGTGAAACCAGTCATGCCAACATGAATCTATGCATACATATGACAAACGTAAGCATGCCAGTTGGCGAAAGAGCCTTTTCTTATCACTACCACAACTCATAAAAAATATGTTGTTCATTTGTTCCTAATTATTCTTACCAACATAGTTCAATGTTCCCTATAATTCATTTCTTAGAGGAAAGTGAGGTCTTTGTCCACATAAAAAGATACACACACACACACACACACACACACACACACACACACGCACACACATGCGCAGACATGTGTGCACACACAATAAATAGATTAGATAGATGATATGTATATACATACATAGGTGTTATATGATATATATGTGTATATGTATTTATGTATATATATGTATGTATATGTATATATATATAATTGAATTAAGTTCATTTCCATAAGCTGTTGTCAATGGAATACATAACATAGTAAAGAAAACTGAAATCTACTGTAATTTTCTCTATCTTCCTTCCCAGGAAAGATTCTAAACTGTATGATTCAAGACTGTAAATACCCATTACCCTGGGAGCCTCCTCATCTGCCCCTTCATGTACATGCTACTGTTGAGTAGTCCAAGAAGAGACGTGGTGGATGGGCATGACCAATTGAAGAAGAAATGGAAATGTTCTTGTTTGGAAAGAAAACTTATTTTTTTTTTCCAGAACCTTGGAACTGGTGTGGGGGACTACAAACCTCCTTGTATCACCCAAACAATGGGGAAGACAGCCCAGCGACTGAGCGTGGGGCTATGGAAACAGCATTACTAGGCACCGAGTGTTAGATATGTAATCATTTGTCTAGAATTTCGTAAGCAAAGAAACCAACTAACCCACTTACTAGGCTCTGCTAATGTTTGACAGCATTGCACAGCAGTTAGCTCTTATCACAGAAGCCACTGAACCATCCGACTCCCTGAGTTACTAACACGTCTGATGCAGAACCATAGACAGCTTGCACCGGGGTTTCCAGTTTGCCCATAATGAGGAAGTAAAGGATGTCATAAGAGCCCAGCTCCAAGCATTGGTAATCTGTTCATTGGTCTGAACAGAGACAACAAAGCTAGCCTAACTCACAGAGGGTAGGGGAGCACAGAGTAATGCAGGGCAGGAATCTTTTCTCCGTTGGGAAGTGGGTTGTTCTTAACACGAAGGAAGCCCAGAAGAGGCAAAAGATGCCCTGAGGAAACCCTGTCTCTGAAATGGCCCAATTCAGGGGTTCACATTGCTATCTGATGATGTCCTGGGGGAAGCGAACATACCACCACCGCTGATAGAATGCGTGATGGCTCAAGAAGAAAGCATGATGCAAATAGGAAAAGAAACCAGTCAGGCGCTTTGGAAAGCAAGCCTACAACAGGTTACTATGGGATTCCCTCCCCACTTCGCCCTCAGCCAGCCTGCAGCAGCTACAGAGGAGAACATCTAATGACGCATGTCTCCAAATTAGGTCAAGGAAAGGGAGTGAGTGCTGAGGAGACTCCTGTGCCTCCAGAAATATTTACATTAACCAAAGCTGTTTCCAAAACTTCTTTCACCACTTCAATGCACATCTCTGTGACACCAGCCACCGCCCCCTTTTCAGAAACCCTGTCACTTCCCACCCCAAAGCCTGCAGATTTCCATTATAATGGAAACAAAATATGTGGAGAGTTGACGGGAATACACTGGGTGTTTGACCAGTGCCGCTGCCTGGCTGTCACCAAGAGATGAGTGTATAAGAAACAGAAAATGCTGGAGTGGGGGCTGGGCAATCGGCACAGGGGTAAAAGGAAAGAAGGAGGCATTCTTTAAAGCCCGCCTAACTGATTTCCACTCTATGTCTTTCCAAGCCTCAGTCCACTTCTATGCTCATAATAGTTACGGAAGACTGAGTCACACACCTACACCTTCAGTCAGGAAACAAAACAAACCAAAACAAAAAACCTATCCAAAGAAGTCAGCTCTCCTGCACAGTCGTCCAGCCATGGCTACCCAGAGCAGACATACCTGGCAGGGAAGTTCACATTTCTTTCCTCGCCATCCAGGAGCACAGGTGCAGGTCCCATCCAGGGTGTGGCAAGCACCACCATTGAGGCACTGACATGTTAGGTTACAGCCAAAGCCCCATGTGCCGCTGGGGCAGCGGATGGAACAGTCCACCCCGTGCCAGCCTGCATGATGAGAATGGCAGAGTGTGTGAGAAAACAAGGGTGACAGGGAGCTTTGCTGAGCCCTTCCAAGACACGTCTCCCTGTGGAGGCATCTTGGAGAGGCATAACAGTGCTGCCCAGTCCCAGTCCTCACAGTGGCAGAAGGCCTTGGCTCTGCCGCAATAGGCCTCCACCAGAAATAAAAAGGAACCCCACAGAAACCAAACAGCAGCCAACTGTGCCATGTGATCGGCCAGGGATGCCAACACGGAGAAGCACCCCTGGGCTCCTGGAAGGGATGTGGAGAGAGGTCACCTTTAATGGGCTTTGATGCTCAGTGTAGAATTATAAGCTTTGTCTGTTTATGTGAGAGGAAGTAGAAGGCTTGTTCTTGGAAAAAGAAATAACCCCATCTTTGAAGCAATAGGATTTAACCATGAAAAATGTGTTTCCAAGATCCTGGCCGCATCTATGGAGGACACATTCTAGGCCACACATAAAATCTGTGCTGGCTGAATTTCCTGTCATGACTCCAAGTTGATCCTTTGGGGGCCATAGACATGTCTGTTTGTTTACCCTTCCCAAAATTCTGGATTCCAACTTTGAAAGCTGACAGCAACTTCAGAGAGGACCGAATATGAGTTTGTTTTCTGGACTGAGGAAGAAGGAGGGCTGCTGAGGTCACACTGATTTTAGTGAATTTAGAGCTACAGCCCTCATCGGGATGTAATTCCAGTGACTCCAGTAGGTGACAGGACCAGGACTGAAATGATTTATGTACATACTCTTACCTGCCCTACAGATACAAGATCCGTCCACAGGAGAACAGGCAGCATCGTTTTTACAGCCGCAGCGAGAAGAACAGTTTATCCCATAGCTTCCCAGAGGACAGGGAGTAGAGCAGTCAGCTCCCTAGATGAGCACAAACAGCAAAATGCAGGGTACTTTTTTATTTTTGCCAACTGAAACCATGCCAGCACAGACAAAAATATAGCTTGACAATGCTAATCTATGCTTTCTCTCTAATTTTAACACTATATTTTTGAAAGTTTCTGTGATACCATTCCTATATACAATTATAGAGATTCAAGTACAATACTGGCTGGCCCATGTTTATGATAAAATATGAAATAGGACCTTCCCCCCACTTTCCAAAATGAGCCTGCCAACTTTTTTAGCTTTGTTTTCATAACAGAACACCAAAATAAGGTTTCTCCCTTGGTTACACAAGTAGATAGGTAACGGTAAACTATAGCGATAAAATCATTGTAAACAAAAATATAAACAAACCGCACACCGTTTCTTTTCACGAGCCCCCTTGAATAATATGTAATGTTGTTAATGGTTGAATCAAAGCAACACTCAGCCAGTGGTATGATTCAATTTAGCCAACAGAGGGCATTAAACACAGAACTGAGCTACAAAGGTGAGCTAGACTCTTAAGTGAAAATTAATTCAGGGGTCAGCCAGGGAATTGTGACGCTGATCAGAAAACTCTGGAAAAGTCCTATTGGCCCTGTGACTTTATGACCTATTCTTTCTACATTACGTGCCCTGACATGACCATCAACACTCTTCAGAGTTCAATGGCATCTTCTTTATAAGGGGAGGAAATAAATCTCAGTTACCACTTCTCCCTTTCAATAGCTAAGAAGTAGTAGGGACCACAGGAATAATTAGACTGTCTTGTTGTACAGGTACATTGACAGAATCTAGACTCTCAAAGGGATCTCAAAATTGTATGCTACTGACTGTAGAGTGAAAATATATCATAAACATATACGTGGTGAGTGCTGTGTCTTTAAATTTTGTGGAATCTTAACAGAAACTTGAATATAATAACTAATAACAACCGTATGGAAAAGCTATTTCTCTGTTGCCTATCGGGCAGAATAAAACAACTACATGAAGAATATTTATTATGATCATGCTTCCTGGTGTGTTCTAACATTAGGGACATTAAAAACATTAATGACACCTTGACGGCTCTCAGTCATCACTGGACTGTTGAAGTGACTTATCTCAGATAGTTCTTTGCCCGGTAAATGCTGTGAATGGCTTAATCACATTCACCATACTTCACGGCAGCCCGAGTAAACTGCGCTGTTGGAATGCTCCGCACTGCACCCTCCTCCTGCCTCCAGAGCCTGAGTTACTCACTTTGAATCCTGGAGCACAGGCGCACCTTCCAGTCACACTGTCACAGTCGGCTCCGTTTTGGCAGCTGCAGATCTGTTGGCAAGCTTCCCCATAGAACCCAGGAGAGCATGTTTCATTACAGTACAGCCCAGACCAGCCCGGCTTGCAGCCACACTCTCCAGACATGGGATGACAGCTGAGAGCCATAGATGAAAAGAACAAGTCATTCTGGGATAAACATGACACGTCGGGCATGCACAAACGCTGCCTTCTCAGTAATGACTAAATGTGCTGGTAATCCCAGGAACATGATTTAAACCTAATTCCTATGGTGATGTGATTTAATTAATTGGCTGCCACTCGACTTGTTATTGCTGAAACAGTGAATGAAATCAGCATTGAGCCCCAGTGAAGTAACTACATAACCGTATCCTTTTGTCTGAAGTTCTTTTTAATTGTCTCAAATTGAGAGCACTAACTCAATAAGAAGGGACATGAGACACACTGAAGAGGGCCATCCAACACCAAGTCCACTGTGTGATAGCCAAGAAATTCCTAAAGCAGTAGCCTTGCCAACATGTTTCTCCTCCAAGGCCATCTACCTGGTAGGTAAACAGCAGCTGCTACCTGGAACAGCAGCCACATTGACAGCCCAGGGGCCAGCTGTTGCTCCGTGGCAAATGGACATGTCAGCTGTGCTAAGATGCTCATGCAAGGGAGTGGACACAATAAGGCACTCTGTGGCATGCTGGCTTAAAGCATGTGTGCTTCCTGACACGAGAAACCCTGCTAACTCTGACAAGCAAACTAACTCTGCGAACTAACTCTTCCTTTTAGACAAAAGGAAGACTGTGAAGATGACCCCTCTCTGTGAAGACAAACAACAAAATCTGCTTTGTTTAGACATTTGCCAAATGGTTCTAGTAAGGGACTGCCCATAGAATTTGTACTCTTTGGGGGGAAGGGAGACTTGTAGGGATGAAGATACTGTAATTCTAGTTCTTGTCCACCTGAGTGTCCCTAGGGAAGGCACAAAGCCTTCTACCCTGAAGTCCTCATTTGAGTAAAGGTCTCAGCCACACCCCAAAACCTTATTCTTCTCTTTTTCTTTTTATGTGTACAACTGTTTTGCTTGCACATATGTATGAGAGCCATAGGCATGCCTTATGCCAGCAGAGGTCCAAAGAAGGGTTCAGATCCTCTAGAACTGGAGTTATAGGTGGTTGTGAGCCACTCTGTGAGCGCTGGGAACCACACCCAGATCTTTTGCAAGGACAACAAGTTCTCTCAACTTCTCAACCATCTCTCCAGCCCCACACCCCTTCATTTTATGTTCCATCTATCCATTTATCTTTTTTCTTTTTCTTCAGAAAAAGCCAAGAGACTGGCTGGTTTGTTTTTCATTTCTAAAGTTTTTTGTTTTGTTTTGTTTTGTTTTGTTTTAATAATGTACTTTCAGACTCCTGCTACAATTAACTATCAACATGAAAAAGTCAGGAGATTCATGAAACCATGCTTGGGAACCATGAAGAAAAATGTAAATACATTTATGCAATTGAGATTTCCTGGGTAGAGAGGGTTTGGATGGAGAAGACAAGGGCTTGAGTCTCAGACACACTTAGCTCTACATGTGTACGAATAGATCTAGTCCCTGAGATCATCCTTGGGCAAATACCTGGCATCTTTGTGGCTTCTCAAGCTCACTGTGCCAAAGGCTGAGCCCTGTTCTTCCCTTCTTTTACACCCAGTGTCTACCCAATCCATCTGTACTTCTGTATGTGGGACCATCATCTGCCTGTCTGGAAACTGCTTTGATTGCCGGCGTGTCTGTTCACTTGCTTGCTCATTGATACAGGGCCTTGCTACACAGCCCAAGCTGATTTTATAATCAAGATCTTCTGCCTTTGCTAAAATCACAGTTATGAACTACTGTGCACAGTTAAGGCTCGTACTCTTTTATCAGTTTAATGTATTTGTAATAACTTCTAACACTATGATACTGTGAATACAGAAATTAACAGGAAATAGTAAAAGTACATTTTATTCAGTTATTTAGACCTATGTTTTATCTTATTTATTTAACTAGAGTTTTATTTTTTTTTCATGGTGAAATATGTGTTCTTACATAAGTAAAGAGATGCTATGACAATTTTTTTTATCTGATGTCAAATTCCTTCTTTTTAATTAAATTTTTATTTTTTTATTAATTACAGTTTATTCACTTTGTATACCAGCTATAGCCTCCTCCCTCATTCTCTTCCAATCCTACCTTCCCTCCCTCATCTCCTCCCATTCCCCTCTCCAAGTCCACTGATAGGTGAGGTCCTCTTCCCCCTCCATCTTCTTTTTAGTTTTTTATTCAAATATTTTTCATGCAATATATTTTTTCATGTTTTCCCTCTTCTACTTCTTCTCAGATCCTCCTCATCTCCCTACTCACATTACTTAGTGTTTTCTTAAAAACAAAGTACAAAAAAGAAACACACACACACATACACAGAGAGAGAGAGAGAACAAAATAAACAGGTAAAAGAATAGCAATTTTTTAAAAAGTCCAAACAAAACAAAATTAGAGAAAACGTTGTCATTAGTGTTGTTTTTTAATTGATCACTGAGTTCATTTTGTTGGTTAATTACTCCGGGGCATGGGGCCTGCTCCAGAATGTGGTTAATCTACCCAGTGATATTCCACTAGAGAAAACCAGTTTTGTTTTGTTTTCTTTGCCGGTGGGTATCAATTGCAGATAGTTTCTTGGTTAGGGACGATACTCCCTGTTCACTTCTCCATTTCAATGCCAGGACCCTATTTGGTTTGAACCTGAATGGGTCTTATGTGAGCACACAGTAGGCTCACAGCAAAGGCTGCAAAGTAAATAGATGAAAAGGACACAGACAACTCCAGGCCTGGTTCTTATAGAAATGTCGCTTCTCCCTCACGTCTTAGGGGCATAGCACAAGGCTATTCGATGCAGTGTCTGTGTCTGAACTCGGGGTTTCCTCTAAAATGCGTTTCAAAAGTGTTAAAAGGGAATCGCCTCCAATCCCAGAGGGATATGTAATACCTGTGAGGTTGGTTTAAGTGAATGCAGACAGTAACAGCCAGCATTGCAAGGCACTGACTGGTGCCACCTCCCTGATGAACTGTCCACATGCATTATTTAATCTCAGTTCCCATGGCCATCCAAAGTGGCAGGCATGGTCCCATTTCATAAATGAAGAAACTGAGGCCCGGAAAGAGTAAGGTTGATTCACAGGTTCACAGGTGTAGTAGTTGCAGAATCAGACATCAACAGTGGCGTGTCGGTTTGTTTTGAAACTGAAGGAAAGGGAAGTTTGCTAGAAGCCTTCAGAGAAGACTCCATATGAAAAGGAACTGCTAAAGTTTAGGATTTACAAAGCCAGCAAGATTACGAAAACAAGACAAATTTATATGAGAAAACTTCATAGTTGAGAAAAGCAAACAAACAAACTTTATCTTAACCTGCCTTAAAAAGACACTTGGTAGAAAATGACTTACAATAAAAACAAAACAAAACAGAAGTATTATTTATGATACAGTGTTAACACTAAACACAGTAGAAATCACCATGTGAATGTGAACTGTGGGGGAAAGAGAAAATGATATTCAATGGCTTCTAGTGACTGGTAGTCCAGCACACTGGTTCTCAGATTCATTGAGAACTAGCTTAGCATTCTGCAATTTGTAATAAGTGTAGGACACCAGAGCTGCTTGGAGGCGCTCAGTGGGCTCTCACTCAGGCAGTTAATGTATAGTGAGATGAACATGTGGAAGAAGATTAGACATGAGAGGTGATACGCATCATACCTCTTAAAGAACACATTGCTTACACATGAAAATATAATTATGCACATGTGAAAATATTTGCCTTTTTATACATGCATATAAAACAACTACTTTTGAAAAATAGTTAATAGCTAACTTACAACTGGGGTCCAGTTGTACATAATATTGGCTGAGGCTAGTGACATGGGTTTTGATTTCAGCGAGTCAGGAGGCTTAGGCAGGAGGATTGTGGGTTCAAGGACTGCTGAGTCCATACTGTAAATTCAAGGCCAGTCTGGGAACTCTGTCTCAAAATAAAAAAAATACTGAGCTGTGACTGTACCAGTCTTTATATTTGCTAGCACACGTGAGGTCCTGGGTTCAACCTCCCATACTGAAAAGATATGTAGACTAAAACAGAATGAGTCCTCCTTTTATTCATTTCTTTATATGAGTCTGCGCTCAAACACAATGACAATTGCATGGCTTTTGATTAGTTTTGATTATGAACTTAACACAACCTGGAAATCAGATTGGCCTATGGCTGTGTCTGTGAGGGATTTTCTTGATTGATGACTGATGTGGGAGGGCCCAGCCCACTGTGGGTGGCGCCATCCCTAGGCAAATGTGTGTGGATTATATAACAGACTTACCCTGCTTCTCAGAGCTTACCCTGCTTGTTTCGCCCTTAGAAGCCAGATGGCTAAAATGAGCCCAGGCTACTCTTCAGGAGACTCCATGTGCCTAGTTATACTAGTCACCCACCCAAATGCACAGAGGGAGGATTTCCAGGAACAATCAGCTTCCAATAGATCTGCCATTAGCAGAAGAAACTCCCATACCGAGCCTAGGCCACACAGTAAAAAGCCATCCACTAGTAAATACCTCATGGCCAAGGCTACTAAATTTGGCATCATTTGTTTGTTTGTTGTGATGTAACTAATGCTAGTCTATACTAACCCCTCCTCAAATGTGTGGCTGTCATATATCAATACGTACATACACAATTCCTACAGACTATGTAAACTATTAAGTTACATTGCATTAGATATATTAATTACACAAAAGGTTTTGGGATGAATTTATTGCATGGATTGTATATAATGGCAAATCTCTACTTGCTTCGTCAGATGATAAGAGAACAAATTAGGCTTCTAATTAAAGCAATGATTCTAAGCCCCTTTCTTTTTCTCTCCAGAGGGCTCTGCATTTTGCAAGGCTGTTTAAGATATAAGAATTGATATATGACTCCAGCTGTGTATCCAACATGAGAGACTCGTGTAATCCGCATTTATCTGGCTTTAAAAGAAATTTGTAAAAGCTAATCTTTTAAAATAGCTTTCATGAATAAGGGCACTTAAATTGTTTCTAAACCCTCTGAATATTTGATACACATCATTTCAGTATTGTTCTGATCTACGCAATTGTCAAACGATGTCATCCATTTCTTTGTTAAAGTATATGCATTAATCTGGTGGGACCTATATCAAAAGCATCCTGGTTCTGTGATTAAGAAAAAAATAAATAAATCCCCCTCCCCACCCTGCTTCCAGACATTCAGATCCACCAAAACTAAGTCTCCATGCTTATCTGGTTCCTCTCAGAGATCTCTTTTCTTGGGTTTGCTGCTTTATTAGATTTCAGCCGTGTCCATACACAACAATGCAGTCCGCTGGGGGTGACGCTACATGAGGCGTACCTTAATTTTAATCATGCCAGCTCCTTATACGTCAGAAAGTAGAAAAACAAATCTTTGCAGGGAGTTTATCAGCTCAATATTTACCTAAATGTTTCATGTAGGAGCTAACAATATGTTCCAATGAAGGAAACCCAAAGATGATCATAGCAAAGCTGCTTGAGTCACTTGGAGAGTACATGTCTTACACACACACACACACACACACACACACACGACAGTATAAAGTACATTTTTCTTCTGTTCCTAATAATGGCTTAAAGAATAGACCAACCACATACTGTTTCCCTCCATCTCTTGTGTGTTTGGGGTTTGATACAGCTTTGTGCAAATGTAACACCATCTGCACTGAATCCAAATACAAGTCTTTCCACGAACATCTGAACTGTTGTATACCGTACTATACTTTCGTCAAATTTATCTTTTCCAGAAGTCTACGAATGGGCTTGGACTTCTCAATGTTAGGCCTCTGGTCCTTGGAGAAGGGGAAAGAAGAGAAGAGGTAGGAAGGTATTGTTCAGGGACAGCTGAGGCACAGTAAGGTGGGTGGGATTGTCCTTTCCTGATCCCAGATTTGTGGAGAGGATTTCTGAGCTGGAAGACCCCTTGGATTTTTTTGGTCACAGCAATCAGTTCTGAACACTATTCCACATGTCACAGCCACATGGGAAGTGCTTTCAATAAACCCCCCCACTTCCTCTCTGTAGCCTTTCTTTCTTCCACAGATGTGTTGTCAAATAAAAGATACTGCAGTGAGAAAGACATTTTCACATCCTGAACTTGGCTTAACCCCTGTCTCTGCACAGTATCTTTGTTTCTAAGGGAATGTCACACATTTCTTCTCTAGGCAAAAGTTCTGTTCATCTCAGAAAAAAAATCTTTTTTTTTGCCAGTCCCCATCAATAGAAAAATAACCTAATACACACCAACAAACAATATCCTTAGCCCTTTGGGCATTGGCTTTCAGTCAAGTAAGTGAAACAATAGTCCGTCCCCTTGCTGCTTTCTGTCAAGGAGAGGCTATTCTTGCCAACACCTGGGAACTGAAGTTAAAACTTCAATAGAAAACGTTTTTCCAGAGGCAGATGGCACTCACCTATGAGTGTTGTCCAGGTGGCAGGGGCACCGCTTGTCACATTTGATCCCATAAAGCCCCTCGGGACACAGGCGCGCCTCGCAAAGTTCACCGGCAAAGCCCGCTTCGCACAGGCATGCACCGTTCACGTGATAGCATTTCCCTCCATTGACACACCTGCAGGCTTCCGCACAGCGAACACCGTAGGTCCCCACAGGGCATTCGTCCTGACACCTGTCCAGACAAGAGGCCAACGGTTGGTTCAAAAGGGCCCAACTATGTACAAGCTGAAATGCTTTTGAACCCGTAATATTTCATGTTTGTTCCATGATAGGTAAAAAAGTAACAAGACAACTCATTCTGGCTACATAGCATTAACAGCTGTAAGCGCGTGGAAGGGAGAACTGAATACCAAGACGCAAGAGATTCCGAGCTTCCGAAATCAGATATTCCTCAACCCCAGTTTGTAGGTTATGAGAAGGCTTGGCGCTTTCTGACAAAATATTTGGGCAAGGGGAATACTGTCCTCTGTTGTGAAGGACTGCCGAATGGCAAGGGGACAGAATAATCCAAAATTTCCTCTTAAGAGTCTTTTTAACAACTACAAAAAAAGAAACGGCCTGGAGGGGAGAGATGCCCTGGTAAGCTGGATGAGGTGGGCCGCTGATCCTGGAGAAATGAAAGGAGTCGTCACTGGTTCGAGGGAAGCATGAATGGTTATTGGTGTTAGCCAACTCTCTTTTTGGAGAGGTGAGGTGACGGGGAACATTCTGCCAAGAGGACAGAATTAAAGTCTCCTCTGGTGGAGCGCTCACCACAGTAGGGACACTGTCTCAGCAGCCACCTCCCATGTGGCTTTCCTGTCATGCCAGACTCAAAAAAAAAAAAAAAAAAAAAAGTAGGTCAGTATTGATTTTTCAGATCTGAACAATGCAAGCAGCAAGGCATGCTTAAGAGCGATGGCAGAGAAAAGAGTTCCAAGGGAAACCGTCTGTCTAGGAGAATTGGCATCATTTTAATGACAGGGTGTGGTAAACATCAGTATTGGATTTCTGAGTATAGAAAGGCAGCCTTGGGCATCTTCTGACATTTTGCTGGTTTGACAATGGCTCTAGCATGCATGAAGTATGATAGAGAAACAAAGCTGGGGGACCTCCTAAAAGAAGGCTCCAATGCTCCTAGAAATCTCCACGTGCACTCGTTAGCATGCGGTCACTAACTGCTTAACCACAAGAGAAATTCTGGGGCAGTTGAATTAATTCTTCAAAAAAAATTCAAGTGTAGACTTTAGAATGACATAGGAATGAAAATAGCTGTTTTTAGATCAGAGTATGCTTTTAAATAAAGGTCCTCAACATTTTTAACCTTCAAGATGCTTTTCTAAGTCATCTGATTTATTCCTCTAATATGTACACTTTACTTTGTGAGCCACAGTGACTCACAGTGACCTGATCCAGGCTTTTCCTAAAGGCTGGCAAGACGGCTTCACAATACATCTGACTGGATGTCCTTGCAACACAACGCCAAGGGGAATAAGGATTTAAAAAAAAAATACCACATCCTCACTTTATTATGCAAATCTATAAACAAGACAAAATGCTAAACTTGGGTTGGTGGGATCACTCAGCGGGTAAAGATGCCTAACAATCCTAAGTGCGATCCCAGAAGGGACTGAAAGAGGGAGGTGACTTCCGCAAGTTTTCCTTTAATCCTGACACAGGCTCCATGTACCACCTTACCCAAAACACACACAGTAAATACATAAATGTCATTCAGGAAAAGTCTGGACTTTGGGTTATCTGCATGGCTAATGTGGTTTAAGCACCCTTTAAAACTGTTGGAAATGGTGCACATCGGACGTCTGGGAAAGTCCGTTGCCCCAACACAGGGAACTGGTGTGTGGGACTCTTTCTGTCTTGGCACAACATTTTCTTTCTCTTGGAAAGCAAAATGTATAATAGCTGCTCCTGACCTGTCTTTCCCTTTCTAACCTCTAGTTAAGCATCTAAGAGTTTCTAGTAGAAATACAGAACAAATACACTCGGATTTGCCGTCTAAGCAGTCACTATGACAGCCGGTCCTTTCTGTCAGGGCTGCGGCATCTTCTTGTCAGTAATGGTTGTTTATTTCCACCCGCCAAACCCAAACAGCAAGGCAGCTCTCCGGGAGAGTCTTTCTCCGTGGTTTTAAAATCACCACTCTTTCAACTCTGCAGACGTATAACGTACAGTGTGATGATTCCATGTACACACAGCAATTTCTATCTTCAATAAACATCGTGGAATATCACTGCCTTTCTGGTTGGTCTCTAGCTTAAGTACTGGGAAGAACCCAAATTTTCCATAATTGCAGAGACAAGAGTTGAAGACCAGGGCTGCATTCCTCCCGTCCTGAGCTGCAGCTTCTGACACTGTACCCTTTCCCATCTTTTTCTTGGCTTTCAGAGTCATACAGCACTCGGGTCTGCCAGGGCTGCCTCGGGGTTCACTATAACAGACTCCAGTACTGAGTTGTGACTACTCACTGAGCACTGTGTGTAGGCATGAGCCTGTGCCCCACCACCAAAGAGTCATGGGGTGGTTCTGTGACACATCATTCACAGCTTTTACAGTATCTTCAAGCAGCGCTTTGTGAGGCCCTCAAACTGTCTTCTCTTCATTCTTGCTGACTTCGCTGTTTTGCATCTTCTTACCACAGTACCCTTTGGGTCTTTCCAGAGACCTCAGAGCCTCTTATTTGTCATCCACTGTATAGTCCTTCCAGCCTGAAGGGTGCACCATTTGTTTCCCTGTGGTGTGGTGGCATCCCCACATCCTGGGTATATTTGCCAGCAGCTGCCTGTGGTAGCAACCACTGTGGAGCCATCCTCCTAATCATTCCAGATGCACTGACGTCTCAAGACAAGTGAAGGGACACTTAGGATCCCCACCCTTGGGCCTCCTCCCCACCTCCTGCCACAGTCCACCTCCACAGTCACTAACTGTGTTCTTTCACAATGAAAAAGGTGCTTTCTGCATCTCATTTGTGTGTGTTAATAACTTAAAACAGAGGTGTGGATAGTAATGGAAAACAGTAAGCACATGTCATCACTGATGTTCCACAAAAGCCCAGGTAGAAGAGAAATTGCCCTTATTTTTCCCCTCCCTTGTGTCTCAAAAATTTACTCGAAAACTAGCTGCCATTCTCTTCCCCTGTGTTCCAACTCAGTTAAGCACAAACTCACTGGCCTTAGAGGTGTGATGTTTTTGTGTTGCTTTTTAACTTAAATTTAAAAAGGCGTTTTTGCATTGAAATGTCTCTAGACATTTCATATAAAACATTGTTCAGGACCCTGCTTGGTTTTGTGCCTCTCCTCTTTTCCTGACCCTGTTTTCTGTAATATAAAGGCACAGGGGTCAACAGATCATCTAACATCCTCATCTACCTAAAGCGCAGCTTAGAACTAGGCTGTGGGTCACAAAGTCACATGGAGTAGCCCAATTCTACAGTGTGAGATGAACAAAGGTGTCTATAAAGCATACATCAAAACAGTAACAGAAAATTATATGATTGTATTAGTCAACAACATTGGGATTTTAATTAAATTGAGTGGGCATTTTGAACAAAAGGCCTTAACAAAACAAAGGACCGGGGAAGAGATACTGGGTAATGTGGTGACCAGAAACAGCAGACATAAAATTACTCAAAGCCATTTCCAATACAGCAGTACAAGACAGACTTCCTGCATTGATCTCCTATTTGTCAGCATCAATTCAGAGCTTCAGATCAGTACAATAGAAAATCATGAGCTAATCACTGAAAATATTTTTAAACCCACCATCTTTGGCGATGGATACTATCATTGCATAGCTAAACAAGTCTGGCACTTGCTTAAAACATTTAAATTAATTTAAAAGTTGGTAAAGTAAGAATTAAATGAAGGAGCAGGTATTTGAAAGCAAGTTTTCCTTGTCTAGAAAATACCCAGCTAGAAACTAAAAGAGAATTTTTTAAATTACAAAATACTTAGAAAATGCATTTAATAAGAAAATACAGATACTTCCTGGAGAGGTGAAGAAGCTCATAGCATCTAATCAAAAGTCATAAAATTAAAGCATAAACAAAAATTCTCAAAAAGGCTAAGGAGGAATGTTTATTTTGCATATGTCACTAAAATACAGTGACGAGTAATTGAGGTTCTTAGATATTAGCCAAGTACACGGTGGCTACTGTTTGCATGGTCACAAAAGCTGTGTGAATAAGCTTCAGAACTCTAAAACCTTCAGTCTACCTTCTTAAAGCTTATCACAGCCTGGAGAAAAAGCAAACAGCCTAAGCATTACAAGGACATGGGCCCTTTGTTCTTAATCAGCATGCCCTTTGGATTCTCTGGTCACTGTTCTTTGACTTTACACCATTGGAAATGAATTTAGCTGTCCAGTTTCCCAGGACCTAAAAATTAAGAGCAAAGTTGAAGCACTAGAGTAAGAAGAGCCTCTGAGGTAGCAGTTTGTCCTTTATATAGAAAGTGACAAACCATGCATATAAGAGCCACACTGGCAGACAGAACCCATTTGCTTCTGTTTCACACAGGTCATAGACTTCTAAGCGCTCCCACAGAACTGATGCTGTCGATACAATATAATACAACACAATGATGAATAATCTTTTATTTAGATTTTACTATTACTCTTAATCATGTGTGCTCGTATGTGCCTATGTCTGGAATGTGCACTCAAGTGCAAGTCCCTGCAGAGGGCAGAGGGGCTAGGGTTACTGTCATTTGTGAGCCACCCAACATGAATGCTGGGAACTGACTTCAGGTCCTCTGTAAGAGCAGTATGCACTCCAACCACCGGACCATCTTTCCATCCCCAGTGACTAACATTCGTAAGGACATTCTGAGTGATGGGAAGGAAGCTACATTTCATATAAGCTCCTAGGTACAAGTCCCATTTGAAAATCAAGGTGTCAAAGGCCTCATCCCTTTCCGCATTATTCTGTCAAACCTCAAATCGATCTAAAAATACTAAAAATGTAGAGTGGGTGCCCTAAATACCCAACACTTCAAAACCAACACATTCGCCATGGGTTCTGAATAGCTGATGTCTTATTGTCTTTTTTCTAATGTTTTGCTATTTGCCTCCAATTCATTGTTGCTGTTCTGTGACTCAGTTCCTATACCCTCAACCAGGATAGAGTTTTCAAACACTTTTAGACTTCATGGATGTTTCTGGAATATTATACAGTAGTTATGGATGCATACATAGTACTTTATAGCCTCTCTAAATTTTCCTTCCAATAATTAGAACAATCAGAATCTTATTCACTATGAGTAGTCAGAGAAACACGAGTGCATCCTCACCGTTCCCCCGTGTATCCTGGGCTGCAGTGACATTGGCCTGTGGCAGCGTCACACGTTCCTCCGTTGTGGCACTGGCATTCTTGGGAACAGTTCTTTCCAAAGCGACCCTCAGGGCAGGGCTGACCACACACTGTGCCCTGAATTCAAAGAAACTTAGAAAATTAGATGGGCCACCAGCCAGCAACCATGGAAGGCAAAGGAAGCAAACAGGGACAACAGAGAGGGAGGGAGAGATTTGGGGATAGGACTGTGAGAAAATTAGACTAAGGGCACTTTAGAACACAAAATGTTCATCATCTTTAAAATGTGAGAAATGTCAAGCTGACCTATTGACTCAATGAGCCTATAACTCAAAGACAGCAGAATAGTGATCCTAAGAAATTTTCATGTTAAAAACTGAACCCTGGGTTCGTTACATAAAATTATTAATGCAACCTTGGCAAACGGTAAATTCTAGGTGTTCTTCCCTGAACCTTACAGGCACCGTGAGTCAACAATGCTCTCTGAGCATCCCCTGAATGAGTAGCACACACCATCTGAATGCTTTTCCAGATGCTCCACACTATCTCTAGCTTCTTTTCTTAACACATAATAGAAACATCGTGTATCTGAATTAACAATAGAATCACCTAAGAAATACTTCCACAGGGGTTAACCTTTATTTCAGAAACAAACAAACAAACAAACAAAACACACATATTTTCAAGCAGGTTCAATAAACACTTCTGAGGCAAACTTATTTCCTGAGAAGAAAACCCAAACAAGTCACTAGAACATTTCTCCTCACCCTCGGAGCTATCCCTAATAAGCAGTCATGTATATTTCAATTCTCGTCATGTGAAAGCAAGATATCATCCCAAGACCTCAGTATGTCAATGACATACCCCACCGTTTTCCACTTCTCTTAACTAAGTAACGTGGGATTACAGCCTCTGATTTACTGGAGTTATAAGCAATAGAATATTTATTGAGATCATGATTAATGCAAACAACATACCCCACACAGTGGGATTTTTCCTAATGTCTTTCATTGTCCTCTTTCTTTCAGAGGAGACAGACTGTGAGCACTCTGAAATTGGAGCCTAGCTAGAACACCAGATGGTTTTCTAAATGTTTATTCTGGAATAGTGTAAAAAATACATTTTTTCTAACTACTGGCTACCCACAAAGGCAGTTGGTGAGCTAATTAAGTCTCCTCTGGTGGTTTCTAGCTATCCACAAACAGGAAAGATTCTTCCACAGGTTCTTGGAATCAGAAAGCCCTTTGAGAGATGATTCAGGTTAGCGCTTCACTGAGAATTGCCTGCATGCCAGGCACTGTGCTGAGCACTGAGATTCAAAGATAAGTTACCTTTGGCTGCTTTGTTCATGGGGGTGGAGGAGAGCAGATATAAATATAGCTCTGACAAGTCTGTGGCAGTACATCCTACTGCGCTTAGTGGAATATAATAACATTGCTGAAGGGATGACGGAGCAAGGGCCACTAAACAGCTGACCAAGATTCAGGGTGTGGTGGGGTCTGGTGCTAATGCTCACTTTCTCAGGGTCTGGTCCTCATAGCCCATAATGGTCCCTCATAATGTTCAGGGATGCTATTGAAATGTTGGAATGAATAAAGCCTAGTGTAAGCAAGCAGCAGAAAGATGACAACGATGCTATTGGCTGAGGTGTGTGTGTATGTGTGATAAGAATGCCAGTCCACCTTTGGAAACATCTAACATAATGATAGAAATAAGATGTTGTAAAGGAGAAATTTAAGTCTGGAGTTCAGTTATCCACAGAGGAAAAAGTGTGTGGGAGCTTCTACTAGGAAACATCTGTTGTGGCCTAGAGGAAGTGGCTGAAGGCAGGTTTCTGGGGGCCCACTGAGTGGATTCATCTGTTTGCCTCCTGAACTCACAGTCCCAGGTTGTGGCCACTACATTCCCACATTATGACTTCCAGGTGACAAGAAAATATTTCAACCTCAAGATGAGGCAGCTCACAGATGCTAGCAGTGAAACGTCTGCAGTTCCTCACCCAAAGAGCTTGGAGCTCCCTGGCCACTACCCCTATAACAAGACTGCTCCCTTGCCAGGAAGCCAGGAAGGGCCAGTGTTGGCAGAAGGCTGAAGACAGGAGCCAGCTGAGGGAAGAAAATGATTCAAAGGTAACCTGACACTTCTACTTGGGCTTCAAAGAGATGTTGGCTTCCACTTAGATCCATAGGGATGAGGTATATGGCAGGCTTGGCTTTCTGACATTTGCTTTGCTGGGCCTGCTGGAACCACCACACCGATCTTTCCACAGTTTCCTTCCCATGTTTAGGTCCTCAACAAAAAGCCATACCTTTAACTCCAGTTTTTTTGTTGTTTGTTTGTTTGTTTGTTTGTTTAACCAAGCTCCCACACACTTTGCTTCAAGAATCAGACTTTGGCCACTGTATGACCTTCACTGTGGTCTGATCAATTCATTGTATGCTTACCCCAGTGGTCTTGATAAAACTCTCCTACAATAAAAAGTAATTCCAGATAAATTCTACCCCCATATCTGGCTGTAGAAAGTGTGACTTAAGTGAAGCCCAGATAGTCAGTGACATTATGACTATAGGCTAGCAAGGTTGGAGCAACTAACACGGAAGTTATAAATTTCATTTGGGCTCAGGGAAGGTAACATAACAATCCCAGAGCCAGGAGAGGTGGCACACACCTGTAATTTCAGGGAGACAGAGGCAGGCATATCTCTGTGCATTCAAGGCCAGCCTGGCCTACAAAGCAGGTCCAGGACAGCCAAGACTACCCATAGAAACTCTGTCTCAAAAAAAAAAAAAAAACAAAAAAAGCAAAACAAACAAACAATCAATCCCAGGAAAGCAGCGGGTGACTGCTAAAGTCACAGATCTGAATAAAGTTTCCAGAGAGTGTGTATGGTAAGAAGAGAGGAATAAGACTGAACCTAGGAAATGCTGCAATGAATGGAGAAGAATCATCAGGAAGTAGGAGAGGTGGTCATTAAAGAAGTGGAGGACAAAAGAGGGTTAAGGCAGAGACATGGGCAAATCGAGTGAGTCAGAGCTTTAAAGAAAACAAAGCAGAATAAGAGCAGAAGAGTCCTAGTGGTTCTGACAATAAAGAAGTCACTAGAAGCCATGCTAAAAAAAAAAAAAAGTTCCTGGACAGACACGGTCATGATAGTACAAACTGTTCTCGTAAGACATTGCTTTTTTTGAGCAGATGTGCATAAACCAACTCAGGGCAGCAAGATCTAATACCGCTTCCCGGCTTCACACACACAATTAGCAATGCTTCAACCCTGTGTATCCCACATAGCAGTAAGCCTATAGAATTACTACATAAAGAAAATGCATTAGAGTCAAAGTCTGGGGAGCTTTGTAGGTCTGGCTTACTATAACAGTCTCTGGAAAGTTCTACGGTTCTCGCTCTGCTTGATTTACTCCAGTGTTTCTTCACTGATTTATACAACAGCCTAACATTTTCACGTGACACCTATCCTGTTAAGAAGGACATTATTAAGACAGTAGCCACCCATGGATACAATTGTGAAGACAGGTAATAGATGATTTCAGTGTTTATTGGTTGTCGTCACGTGTGAGATCCGACATCCGCTTCTTTTTTTTCTTTGTGGGGAATGCAGAGCACATGGTCATTATTGCTTCCACGAGGACTACTAATATACTAATACGGCCAAGCGCAGGAAGAAGTTACCTCCTGGCTTCTCTGGCCCCGGGGATTTGTTTTTAAATAGCTGTGCATTTCTACTGTGGGAGTCATAGTCACCACTGCTACTTGCCTTTGTGCTACAGTCATCTGTGATCATTAGGGGTGGAAGGGACACTTACCATCCAGCCAGAAGGGCAAGAGCATTCTCCAGTGACATGATGGCACACGCCTCCATTTTGGCAGGGACATCTCTGCTCACACTGTGGACCATGTTTGCCAGGAGGACAAAGATCCTCACAACTGAGGGATTGAAGCGAAACAAAAGACGCCATTATTTATTCTAGTGCACAATCCTCCAATCCACAGATATAACATCACCCAGGACCCTAAAATGTCCAGCCTTTCTTCATTCAATAGCTACTAACTTTATTAATCAGCATTCAGAACATTAATCACACTGGCTGGAAGTGTCTTGATGGGCCACTGGGTCCTTCTCTCTCTCTCTCTCTCTCTCTCTCTCTCTCATTCTCTCTCATGTGTGTTTGCCCAAATGCATGTATGTGGAGACCAAAGGATGATTGACATTCCAGTCTCCACTTCATTGCTTTAGACAGGCTCTCTGACTGTACTTGGCACTCACTGACAATAACTTATCTAGTGTCCAGCAAGCTGCAGGCATCCTCTGCCCCTTCTCTCCTCTTGATTCCCAGTGCTATGGTTACAGGCACCAAAGACCACACAGCTTTTTATGTGGGCATTAGAGATCCAAACTCAGACCCTTTGATTTGGCCCAGCATGAGCCCCCACTAAGCCGTCCACCTGGCTCTTGTTTGGGGGTGCTTCCAAAAGGGGGAAAATATCTCCTGTTTGAGAGCTCCAGGAAGAAATGGGTCCACACACTGGTGGCAGAAGCTTTCTGTGGAAGTCTGACAAAGCTCTTGATCTGGAGTGAAATCTACCGTCCCTTTGGAAGTTTGTTCTAACATGAAAGATCTACATGTTCGCATACTCCCTTTGTGTGCTTATTCACAGCCAGGTTTCAGCGTTCTCTTCTAAATGGGAAACCCTCATTTCTTTAACCCTACTGTCTTTAGACCTTTCCCACTAAGCCCTCCTTGTTCCAGCTCTAATGAAACACCTCCAAGTTTTTCACAGCCCTGTTTAATGCTGGCCTTGATGAAAACCCATAAAAGCAATATTAACAATTAAACAGTTTGAGACAATCATCTATTCTTCTGAAAACCAAGTCTTTCTAGGCTAGTGCGTTTTCTTTTTCTTTGATTCTACTTTACAGACATTAGCACTGTCAGCAGGACATATTTACCTAATCAGCTACATATCCCCAACTACTAGTTCTGTGATTTATGAGCATAATTTTCCCAATAAGGGAACAAGAATTTTCTATCTCTTACTTTCTTGCCAAATTCTGCCTTTTATAAATTCTGTTAACAGAAGCAAACCAAAGAATGCCCTTCCCGAAATAAAGTCATGGAGATTAAGGAGTTACTTCAGTGTTCTTCAATAATAATAATAATGATAATAAACTCTGTGTGGAATTTGTCCTCACAGATGTGATATGTGCACTTTTATGTTCATACAGAAATGTGTAACCATGAGCACAAAATCTTTTACATTGTCTTTCATTTTGTGCAAACATTTTAGTCTTTCTCAGGCTCTCGATCCATCCAGATATATCCAGCTAATTGCCACAAAAGCAAAACCACCTGGACCACTATTCATTATTCCAAGACAGTGATGGAATTGTGGGAGATTTTCATCAGAAACCCACACCTGCCATGATAATTCCAAATATCCTCGTCAGCACACTATCCATTGAGCCTGGGGGCTGGACCTCACACCCTGGCAGAGCTCTGGCTTTCCAAACACAAGCAATAGGAGGTCCTAGTGGCCATCACAGCTGGTCCCTCCATCTGTGAAGTGCCTGGACCCTAGACCCGACAATTGAGGCAGCAAGAGAAATTGAGGCACGCAGTATCTGCGCATCAACTTACAAGGCTCCCGTGTATCCCGGTGAACAACGGCATTCCCCAGTGATGTGGTCACAGGTCGCTCCATTCTGACATTGGCATCTTTGGTGACAGTCATTACCATAGGTACCCTGTTCACAACGGTCTTCACAGCGCCATCCCCGGTAGCCCGCAGCGCAGTGGCACGCTCCGGTGATGGGGTTGCACAAAGCTTTGTTTTTGCACTGGCACCGGCTGCTGCAGTGGGGACCCCAGTGATCACCATCACAAGCTAGGATGAGGAAAACAGGAGGGCATCGGAGTGTGAGGGTGGCTCTGGACCATTCTTAACTCTGCTCCCCTTTGTCAGAACCCTGAGCCTGCATCATGAAATCACTACCGTTATCTTGTTTGTGTGCTTTTGTTTTTAGATAAAGTTTCTTGTATCCCAGGGTGGTCTCAAACTAGCTCTGGAACAGAGAATGTTCTTGAACTTCTAATCCTCCTGACTCCACCTTCTGAGTGCCGAGATTTCAGGTGTGAGCCACCACACCAGATGGGGCTTGAACTCAGAGCTTCCCAAATGCTAAGCAAGTACCCTGCCAACTAACTTACATCCCCAGCCTCATCACTGTTCTTAAGCTGAGCACCCAGGCTCCAGCACCAGCAGCTGCATTCTACAAGCAGGTACTCAGATACCTGGCATCAACCAGGCACCATTCATGGCATCGTGCCGCTGCTGAAGCATTACCATATTTGCCAGCCACATGGCTTCGCTCTTCCTAAACCCAGAGTATGGAGTTTGATGTGGCCACGGTAATGAATGGGCTAGTGAAAGTTACAAAGGAAACAGCAGGAAAAGGAGGTTGGGAGGGAAGCTGGGAATGAGCAGTTTGTACAGAGGTTTTTATGCTTGCCGAGACTTGGACACATTTTTGTACAAAGGACTGCAGCTGAATGATATAAAGCAAGGAAAGATGGAGCCATCCTTGGTGTGACTAAAAAAAAAAAAAGCAGCAAGAGACTGACAAGGACAAGCAAAGAGACAGAGCAGGAGGAAGAGCTGAGATCAGTAGGAGGTGCTTGAACCCAGCCAGTAACAGTGAAAGCAAGAGGGGACCAGAAGGAAGGCTGCCAAAGATCCGGCTCCCCTCCCGCAACCAGGATTTGCAAGACACCAGTCAAAATTTATGTCACTGGGTAAGCCCAGGGACCTCCCAAAGAAAAGGCAGAATAAAAATAGTGGCCTTTTTAAAAAGGCCAGCCTAAAACTGAAAACAGACAATAAATAAAAAGATAATGGGCACAAGAAACAGTATAAAAGAAAAGGAAAAAAAATAGAAATTTAAAGATGTACGCAGGTGTGGCTTTAAATAAGAAGGATGGCTGTTAGGTAGACATCAGTGAAGGGAAAGAACCTCAACCTCAACCATCCTGAAACGAAAGAGAAACACAAACACAGTGTCCTTGGCACAGTGTTTACTTATTTATTAGATACCATAACTGTCACCAGGGAGTACACATCCCAAGGAGAGCTCTTGGGGTGAATAGCCTTCATGAATAAAAAGTGTTAAGTTCAACAGACCTGGAATAATATTGTGAAGAAAACAATAGTTCTGAGCACTTGGCAAACAACTCATCAGAAGCTAGGCACCATCTTCCAACCGTATAATCTACCATGGATTTCATAATAGCAAAAGGTTTAAATGAATAATTCCATTTTTAATCAGCATGGCTTTGGTCTCATTAGTATTTTAATAAACACACTTTAACAGAATTAAAAACAATGAGCGAGAATTATTGAACTTAAAGCAGATGAGGAAAGCAATTACCTACAAGCACACAATCTTCTTTCACAAAATAAGATTAGGTGGTAACTCTAAAATGAGATTCAAACCCAATTATTACTCATATCAGTTCTTTCTTTTGTTGCTCGTAGCTTAGGACACTGAACTTTGAAAACTGTAACTTTTACAATTTTACACGAAAGCCTTACCATTTTAAAACTACACTTACATGGTGCCTGCTCTTCGTTACCTTAGGTGGAGACAAGAGCATCCTGCTTTTAAAGCCTTCCAAAGTAAGTTTTGCGGTCCTGGGTAACTTGTTTCCTGTCTCATAATCATCAATCATGAAGGAAGTCTTCATTCTACCCAAGGCAAATCCACCATCCCCTTTTCAAACTCCTTTCCTCTGCCTTAATCCCAAAACAGTCGGTCTAGTTGGATCTTATCCTGTTAGAAATGACCTTATTCCTGGCGCATGAAGCTGACCTCACCCCTGATCTGTGTTCTGTAGGGTGGGGCACACATATATGTGCATGTAGGGGTTAGATGTTTGGATGGGTATCTTTCTCTGTTGCACTACCTTAGCTTTTGAGATGGGATCTCTCAGTGGGCCTGGAGCACAGGGATTGACAAGACCAGCCAGGGAGCCCCCAGGCCGCCTGTGTCTGTGAGCCCAGGCTTAGGAACACAGGCATTAGCTGCTGTAATTGTCTTCTCACACTGACTACTTTCCTGACTGAGCCATCTCCCCAGCTCTTGACCCGCTTCTTTAGCGAACCACATGCTGCCACTCAGATACTCATATGGATTCTCTAGAATTTTGTCTGTGTTTTCTCCTTTGCTAAATCCTCTCTGTAGCTTCCCTAAGTTGTGGGAGCCTCAGGTAACTGACTTAAAAGCACATGTCTCCTCTCATGCTCAAAGGAAAATGAGTTGATGGAGACACAAAAGGCAATTTTAGCTTATAAAATTACCTTGATAAGATACCACGGTTGCATATACAAGGATTTTTCGAAACCTATGAATTATTGTAGGGCCAATTTTCCACTGTGAAACTGCAATAAGAGTTGGGCTAAACACATATTCGTCATGGAATGTACATTATGAAGCCATGATTGTGATCAAATGAAGAAGAGGAACTGAGGAAACAGAGCCCATCTCTTCTCTCCATGAGCCTTCCTACATCTCAGGGAACATTTTCTCAGAAAAGCAGGCAGGCACCAGCTCTAACGTCCTGGGATTTGACCAAAAATAGAAGAAAAAAAAAAAGGCAGGGAGGAAATTTTTAATGCACCCCAGTATAATAGAAATGAATTTATTGGCGGGGGTGGGGGTGGGAAGAGTTGCAGGCTTTCAAAGAATATCATCATGCCGACATGGTTAATTTCCTGGCTATGTCTAAGCAATGTGGCATGCTTTGAAGTGACAGCCTCCCTGCCTTGGGCTGTAGTTTCCTACAAAGCCACTGATACACAGACCCCACAGTTTGAGCACTGTATCCACAAGAGCTGAGGATGGGACAAAGCCTGCACACAGACGTCCACAGACAGACAACCACGGAGAAGGGACAGAGCACAGAAGCCCGGGGTGGAGGGTAGGACTCAAATACAACTTCCTTTCTAAGTTTTCTTACCATCTTTGTTTGTTAGCACATCTACCCTTAAATATTCCCCAGTGAGTTGTGTAGTTTACAGTGCAAAAGCCGCTTTCTCCTCAGATTCTTACTACTTCTGGGTTAAGTGGACCTTGTCATGACAAGAAGCAGAGATGCTCCATAGCAGATGCAGAATTTGGCCAATTATCTTTAGCTCAAGCACCATGTTTGATCACGTAGTTTTGGAAGGGTCTAAACCAAAGCACACCTAACCATGTCCACAGTCCCTACAGACTTGAGATGGATTAACTCAGAGAGTCTGAGGAATAAGTACCTCTCTTATCCCTATTTCATGGGATGAACAAGTTGAGATCTGGGGGTGGTGGGGCTTGTTCATGGTTACAGGCCACGAGGCATGGAACACAGAATACTCATCTCCAGAACCCGGGCCCTAAATCATTGTGCTTTACTCTTCCCAAATTATAACAGTATTTATCTCAGCACTCACTATAATAATAATAAAAAAATAGAAATAATCTAATTTTCCAGTAACAGGAGACTGGTGAAAAAAAATGGGTATAATTATGCTTCAGAATACTGTGCACAATTAAAAATGATATGAAGAACAGTTAATGAACTAGAATCTTGGCCATATTATAATTATAAAAAGTAGATTAAAAACAGTATAAATCATGTGATCTAATTTTAGCAGTGAACTAGATGAAACTGCCATTAATTTAAGTTTAAAATGCAAACTATCAGTGGAAGCATTCGGCTGGATGTAATATCTGGGAGATGGAAGGCAGAGGAGAGCAGGAGAGCTAGGGAACACAGTGGACTTCATAATGACAAGTCACCAGTGGACACACCTAGGACCTGAGATTTGCCTGGTCTTTCCTGTATTCTTTTGACTTAACTAGGTTGCCTACGCTTTCTAATAGGTATCTATCTTCTTGGCAATAAGAGAAAAGCAAGCAATAATACACTGTGTTTTAAGATGTACTTTATTTGTTTTACACTTTACCAGCACATTAAGCTCAGTATCCTTATTGCATTTGGCACATCAAAGCATTAGGGCACTCAAATAAAATGTCTAAAAATATTCAAATAGTAAATTGGGACATCAGTTTTCAAACCTACCTGAAATTTCTGTACACCCAAAGCTATGAGCACTTTTCATGAGACCATTTTGCCCGTGAAATTAAAAATGGTGATTTTTAGATGCATTTTACTTAATTTTACTGTGGTAGGGCAGAGCACTGAAGGCCACTATTTAAGAAATTCTTTGGGAGTTAAGCAACAACTCAGTATTCAGGGGCCCTAAAGCTAAACAGCTGCCTCAACAGTGAGACTGTAGAATATTTCTCAAAGAAAATAAAATGCAGGAGATAGTCAATTTGAAGGTAACCTTAAAGTTGATAACCATTTTACACAAACAAGAAACTGGAAAACTCAACGTGAAGGAATATGGACATGTGCACCATGGAAATAGAAGAGGCCTCTATTTTCAGGAGGAGGGAAATCAACTATGGGAAGGAAAGAAACGGAAGAAGATGCCGGGGACACAAAATAAGAGCAAAGTACAATTTTATGTGCATGAAAATGTCATGAGGAAAGCCATTATTTTGTACACTAACTAATTAATACTCAATTTTTAGGAAACACTTTGCTCTTTATATTTAGGAGTATACCACCTAAAAACTTGGTCTCCATCTCACGTCACATGTGGACCACATTCAAAAATTACTTGGGAAATGAATGAAAATGGCTGTGAATACACAGAACTGCAGCTTTCAAGCTGAGCCACCCATTAAGCCATTAAAAACTATTGTAGGTACATAACTCTCCCCTAAGCTATCTCAAATTGTGAACTCAGGTTTCAGGCCCGAGAGATAGAGATGGCAGTGTTGG